GATATTTCTACAACTTGATTGGAGTCCACCTGTGCTAGATTCAATTGATTGGACATGATTTGGAAAGGCATACACCTGTCTATACAAGGTCCCACAGTTGACAGTGCATGTCAGAGCAAAAACCAAGCCGTGAGGACACAGGATTGTGTCGAGGCACAGATCTGGGGAAGGGTACCAAAACATTTCTGCAGCATTGAAGGTCCCCAAGAACACAGTGCATGGTGGTGGCAGCAGCATGCTGTGGAAGAATGGGAGAAACTCCCCAAATACAGGTGTGCCAAGCTTGTAGCGTCATACCCAAAAAAAAAAAAATATATATAATTAAAAAAAGACTCGAGGCTGTAATCGCTGCCAAAGGTCCTTCAACAAAGTACTGAGTAAAGTGTCTGAATACTTATGTAAATGTGATATTTATGTTTTTTATTAATAAATGTGCTGAAATTTCTAAACCTGTTTTTGCTTTGTCATTATGGGGTATTGTGTTTTTTATTTATTTATTTTATTTCACCTTTATTTAACCAGGTAAGCCAGTTGAGAACATGTTCTCATTTACAACTGCGACCTGGCCAAGATAAAGCAAAGCAGTGCGATAAAAACAACAACAACACAGAGTTACATATGGGATAAACACAACGTACAGTCAATAACACAATAGAAAATATATATACAGTGTGTGCAAATCAAATCAAATCAAATCAAATTGTATTGGCCACATGCGCCGAATACAACAGGTGCAGACATTACAGTGAAATGCTTACTTACAGCCCTTAACCAACAGTGCATTTATTTTTAATAAAAAAGTAAAATAAAACAACAACAAAAAAGTGTTGAGAAAAAAAAGAGCAGAAGTAAAATAAAATAACAGTAGGGGGGCTATATATACAGGGGGGTACCGGTGCAGAGTCAATGTGCGGGGGCACCGGCTAGTTGAGGTAGTTGAAGTAATATGTACATGTGGGTAGAGTTAAAGTGACTATGCATAAATAATTAACAGAGTAGCAGCAGCGTAAAAAGATGGGGTGGGGGGGCAGTCCAAATAGTCCGGGTAGCCATGATTAGCTGTTCAGGAGTCTTATGGCTTGGGGGTAGAAGCTGTTGAAAAGTATTTTGGACCTAGACTTGGCACTCCGGTACCGCTTGCCGTGCGGTAGCAGAGAGAACAGTCTATGTCTAGGGTGGCTGGAGTCTTTGACAATTTTGAGGGCCTTCCTCTGACACTGCCTGGTATAGAGGTCCTGGATGGCAGGAAGCTTGGCCCCAGTGATGTACTGGGCCGTACGCACTACCCTCTGTAGTGCCTTGCGGTCGGAGGCCAAGCAGTTGCCATACCAGGCGGTGATGCAACCAGTCAGGATGCTCTCGATGGTGCAGCTGTAGAATTTTTTGAGGATCTGAGGACCCATGCCGAATCTTTTCAGTCTCCTGAGGGGGAATAGGCTTTGTCGTGCCCTCTTCACGACTGTCTTGGTGTGTTTGGACCATGATAGTTCGTTGGTGATGTGGACACCAAGGAACTTGAAGCTCTCAACCTGTTCCACTACAGCCCCGTCGATGAGAATGGGGGCGTGCTCAGTCCTCTTTTTTTTCCTGTAGTCCACAATCATCTCCTTTGTCTTGGTCACGTTGAGGGAGAGGTTGTTATCCTGGCACCACACGGCCAGGTCTCTGACCTCCTCCCTATAGGCTGTCTCATCGTTGTCGGTGATCAGGCCTACCACTGTTGTGTCGTCTGCAAACTTAATGATGGTGTTGGAGTCGTGCCTGGCCATGCAGTCATGGGTGAACAGGGAGTACAGGAGGGGACTGAGCACGCACCTCTGAGGGGCCCCCGTGTTGAGGATCAGCGTGGCAGATGTGTTGTTACCTACCCTTACCACCTGGGAGCGGCCCGTCAGGAAGTCCAGGATCCAGTTGCAGAGGGAGGTGTTTAGTCCCAGGATCCTTAGCTTAGTGATGAGCTTTGAGGGCACTATGGTGTTGAATGCTGAGCTGTAGTCAATTAATAGCATTCTCACGTAGGTGTTCCTCTTGTCCAGGTGGGAAAGGGCAGTGTGGAGTGCAATAGAGATTGCATCATCTGTGGATCTGTTGGGGCGGTATGCAAATTGGAGTGGGTCTAGGGTTTCTGGGATAATGGTGTTGATGTGAGCCATGACCAGCCTTTCAAAGCACTTCATGGCTACAGACGTCAGTGCTACGGGTCGGTAGTCATTTAGGCAGGTTATCTTAGTGTCCTTGGGCACGGGGACTATGGTGGTCTGCTTGAAACATGTTGGTATTACAGACTCAGTCAGGGACATGTTGAAAATGTCAGTGAAGACACTTGCCAGTTGGTCAGCACATGCTCGGAGTACACGTCCTGGTAATCCGTCTGGCCCTGCGGCCTTGTGAATGTTGACCTGCTTAAAAGTCTTACTCAAATCGGCTACGGAGAGCGTGATCACGTAGTCATCCGGAACAGCTGGTGCTCTCATGCATGCTTCAGTGTTGCTTGCCTCGAAGCGAGCATAGAAGTGGTTTAGCTCGTCTGGTAGGCTTGTGTCACTGGGAAGCTCGCGGCTGTGCTTCCCTTTGTAGTCTGTAATAGTTTTCAAGCCCTGCCACATCCGACGAGCGTCAGAGCCGGTGTAGTACGATTCAATCTTAGTCCTGTATTGACTCTTTGCCTGTTTGATGGTTCGTCGGAGGGCATAGCGGGATTTCTTATAAGCGTCCGGGTTAGAGTCCCGCTCCTTGAAAGCGGCAGCTCTACCCTTTAGCTCAGTGCGGATGTTTCCTGTAATCCATGGCTTCTGGTTGGGGTATGTACGTACGGTCACTGTGGGGACAACATCATCGATGCACTTATTGATGAAGCCAGTGACTGATGTGGTGTACTCCTCAATGCTATCTGAAGAATCCCGGAACATGTTCCAGTCTGTGCTAGCAAAACAGTCCTGTAGCTTAGCATCTGCGTCATCTGACCACTTTTTTATTAACCGAGTCACTGGTGCTTCCTGCTTTAGTTTTTGCTTATAAGCAGGAATCAGGAGGATAGAGTTATGGTCAGATTTGCCAAATGGAGGGCGAGGGAGAGCTTTGTATGCGTCTCTGTGTGTGGAGTAAAGGTGGTCTAGAGTTTTTTTTCCTCTGGTTGCACATTTAACATGCTGGTAGAAATTAGGTAGAACGGATTTAAGTTTCCCTGCATTAAAGTCCCCGGCCACTAGGAGCGCTGCCTCTGGATGAGCGTTTTCCTGTTGACTTATGGCCTTATACAGCTCATTCAGTGCAATCTTAATGCCAGCATTGGTTTGTGGTGGTAAATAGACGGCTATGAAAAATATAGATGAAAACTCTCTTGGTAAATAGTGTGGTCTACAGCTTATCATAAGATACTCTACCTCAGGCGAGCAAAACCTCGAGACTTCCTTAGTATTTGATTTTGTGCACCAGCTGTTGTTTACAAATATACACAGACGTAGTAAGTTATGGAGGTAAGGCAATAAATAGGCCATAGTGCAAAATAATTACAATTTAGTATTAACACTGGAATGATAGATGTTCAGAAGATGATGTGCAAATAGAGATACTGGGGTGCAAATGAGAAAATAAATAACAATATGGGGATGAGGTATTGGGTGGGCTAATTACAGATGGGCTGTGAACAGGTGCAGTGATCGGTAAGCTGCTCTGACAACTGATGCTTAAAATTAGTGAGGGAGATAAGAGTCTCCAGCTTCAGAGATTTTTGCAGTTTGTTCCAGTCTTTGGCAGCAGAGGAAGGCCCTAAAAATGGCGGCCAAAGGAGGTGTTGGCTTTGGGGATGACCAGTGAGATATACCTGCTGGAGCGCAGACTACGGGTGGGTGTTGCTATGGTGACCAATGAGCTAAGATAAGGCAGGGATTTGCCTAGCAGTGATTTATAGATGACCTGGAGCCAGTGGGTTTGGCGACGAATATGTAGTGAGGGCCAGCCAACGAGAGCGTACAGGTCACAATGGTGGGTAGTATATGGGGCTTTGGTGACAAAGCGGATGGCACTGTGATAGACTACATCCAATTTGCGGTGTAGATGGGGGGTGCACTGTATAGGTAGGGATAAAGTGACTAGGCAACAGGGTAAATAATAAGCAGATAGACAGGGTCAATGCAGATAGTCCAGGTAGCTATTTCGTTAACTATTTAGCAGCCTTATGGCTTGTGGGTAGAAGCTGTTCATGGTCCTGTTGGTTCCAGACTTGGTGCATCGGTACCGCTTGCGGTGAAGATTGGTAGGAGAGAGAACAGTCTATAACATGGGTGGCTGGAGTCTTTGAGAATTTTTAGGGCCTTCCTCTGACACTGCCTGGTATAGTCCTGGATGCCAGTGTTTCAAATTACTATGTTGCAGATTACTTATGTTGCCTGTAGTAATAATGTATAAAGGTTGGTTGGAACCAACATAATTGCTTGATACAGAAAGTGTTAGTCTAGCCCAGCGTTGGTCCTCGGGACCCCAAGTGGTGCTTAACGTTTAGACGCAGGCTTGAGCTTCACTGGTAGAGATGGGGAGCAGCAGTTTGGTCGGTGCTATTCGGTTCCTTGGGACGTCCCAACCCCATTGAAGTTGAAATTTAAAATGGTTAAAGTAGGGACGTCCTAAGGATTCTGAATAGCACTGACCGGAGCAGCTTGGGCGAGGCTTGACCGACAGTCATTGAGCTAGAACAGGGTTTCACAAACTTGGTGCACGTTTTGGGTTTTGCCCTAACACTACACAGCTGTTTAAATTATCCAAGGTTGATGAGTTGTGTAGTGCTAGGGCAAAAAGTGCACCAAGTTTGTGAAACCCTGTTCTAGCCCAATGACTGTAGATCCAGCCTCGCCCAAGCTGCTCCGGTCAGTGCTATTCAGAATCCTTGGGACGTCCCTACCCTAACGATAACCATTATACATTTCAACTTCAATGGGGTTGGGACGTCCCAAGGATACTGAATAGCACCGACCAAGCTGCTGCTCCCCATCTCTACCAGTGAAGCTCAAGCCTGCGTCTGAACGTTGTCTTTGAGAACAAAACGCACGCAGTCGCACTGAAAGGAATCAACCCGCGGCCGCCGGCATATTGAACTCGAACTTGCTAACGTTACCAGGAGAAGAAAAGAGCAGCCAACATTGACGTCTGTATGTATGAGAAACAGTTTAAGTTGGATAAATATATTAGCAACACCTTCAGCTCTGAAAGCCATTTCAAAACAAGGAAAGTCCTTTTTTTCTATTGAAAACGGCTAACTAGCATTTAGCTAGCTAGCTGTATAATGCCAAGTAGGGGGCGCAGAGGCCGGGGAGAATTGAATGCATCTGTCGTTGGGAGTCTAGCTACAGTAGCACGCTAGCGTTCTGAGTTGTGCGGGGGAAATGTTGGTAGAATAGCTAGCCATCCAGTATAAGTCAGCGGACGTAGTTATCTAACGTTAGTTAGTTTACTCAGTTAACTATGAAATATAACTAGCTAACATCTCTAACGTCCCCTACGTTACTACAGTAGCTAGTTCAGAAAGCTATGTAGTAATTTACAGTAGTTAGCTACTTTAATAGCTATATAGCTCATAGAAGCAGACTTGCTGGTGTTATGACTAGCTAGTAAGCTAACGCTGGCTCTGATTACCTTGGGGGTGTTAGCTGGCTAGCTAAGTACAGTTTTGTTAGCCTTTTCAGGCCCATTCTACCTAGCTAACTAACGGTATCTGGCATGCAAGACAGGTCAGAGACGGTACAAGCTCTAGCTAGTAGTCCTGATTTATTAGGCAAAACTGGCTGCAGCTTTCGTCAACTGCTCTTGTCCTGAAATGATCATTTCTTCACATTTCAGGAAGGGTTCCCCCACCTGTTGTGCCTCTGACATGATTACTAGCTAGTAACATTTTTATTATATGGCATAGAAATTAAGAATTGTGGTTTTTCTAACGTGACATACATTTGAAATCCAGTCTCATTTGTGCTTCAACAGAAAATGGCTGTGAACGTTTACTCAACCTCAGTGTGCAGCGACAACTTGAGTCGTCATGACATGCTTGCATGGATTAACGAATCATTACAGATCAACCTTACCAAGATAGAGCTGTTATGTTCAGGTGAGTGACAGGGTATGGATGGCATTTGTTATTGCATTACATCATAAGGCAGAGATTGCTTATACTTGAGTAAATTAAAGTACATCCAGTAATTGATGTAGCCTAAAGGTTTAGCCTAATTTCCTGTTGTGTGATCAAAGAGGAATAGTTCAATAGGATTTGTGATGACCCCAGGTGTGTCTGTCTTCTAAAGGTGCGGCCTACTGCCAGTTCATGGACATGCTTTTTCCCGGCTGTGTGCCTTTGAAGAAAGTCAAATTTGCTGCAAAACTGGAGCACGAATTCATTCACAACTACAAGATCTTGCAAGCTGGCTTCAAAAGAATGGGTGTCGACAAAGTAAGTAGGCTATTTTATTTTCCCTCTCAGCATAGCCTAGGCTGTAGAGCAGTGGTATTCAAACGTTTTCAGTGGGGACCCCATTTTTCCCTGGCAGAATTTATGGGGAAACAATTTGTCCCCAAGAATTTCTCGCGACCACACCCCATATCTAATAATACAACCATAAAATACATACATTTCGATTTTTACATCAACAAATAACCTTCAATTCATTGCATTTTAATCTCTTATCAAAACGAAAATAAACTATAAATACATTTACTCAGTAAAACATATATTTTTCAAATGATCTTTCTCAAAACAAAACAAAATATTGTCCCATACAATAATCTGTTCTCTTAGTTTAAAAATAATAATTTTGGTGACCCCACTACAATTCCCCCGTGACACCGACTTTGAATATCACTGCTCTAGTCTACATCCAGAGCTGTACCTATTTGCCGGGCTACGTATATTTTTCATCTGTTGAACCGGTTGCTTTTGAAGCATATGTATCTATTAATCCTTTCGCTTCCTGTCTTTACGAGTGGCGCAGCGGTCTAAGGTACTGCATCTCAGTGCTTGAGGCGTCACTACAGACCCCCTGGTTCGATTCCAGGCTGTATCACAACCGGCCGTCCCATAGGGCGGCGCACAATTGGCCCAGCGTTGTCCGGGTTTGGCCGGTGTAGGCCGTCATTGTAAATAAGAATTTGTTCTTAACTGACTTGCCTAGTTAAATAAAGGTGAAATAAAATTTAAAAATACCATGTGTTGGCTTGCAACATATTAACCATTCAACAACATCACCAAGTGCATACAGGAATTCATACAATCAAAAGACATGGCCTACTTGTCTCTCTTAGATGTTCTCTAAACCTAATATCCTAATCTTTGGCTTCTCGTTTGGATTTGCACATCTGAGTTGCCCATAGTGTGTGTACCAATAATGTCAACTGGAGTGTAATCATTACGGCGATTCTGTTGCAAAACGTTTTGCGACAGAAACCATTTACTCCAAACGGAAAACGCAAACAAGTTTCTATTGGAGAAATTCAGGTAGGGCCCTCCCCGTTTCTTTCTGTTTTGATTCTTAAACGGTAAAGTTTCGGTAAAGTTCCCTGCTTTATACTTCTCTGGCACCTTTTGGTAATTGTTTCCTGCTGAGCTAGCATGGCCTCTCTCTACTGTGGCTCACTGATATTTACTTTCCTGTGCCAGAAGAGGGGGAACTGTTGGCATCCTATACAGACTCCACTCTGTTAGTTAGTTAGTCATTAGTTCTCATCCAGTATTTGGATGGTGTATTTGTTGGCTTCTGCACAGTGAAGAGTGTGTGAGTTGGAGAGCAAAACAGTCTGGATTTTCTCCCATCAAGTGTCATGACGAAGTCCCTCAGAAATGGACGGTCCTCCTTGTCTCCTAGTCTGTGTTCTATCCATATTCATTCAGCATTTTTAACGGTAGTCACCTCTGCAATGCATGTTTAGGCTAAATCAACTGTGTATGGCGTGCACATCCACTAGTGTTTATCTAACCCATTTTTGTGGTGTTTAATCCACTAACATGGTGCTTTGTTCTTCCCAAGATCATCCCTGTTGACAAGTTGATAAAAGGCAAGTTTCAGGACAACTTTGAGTTTGTGCAGTGGTTCAAGAAGTTCTTTGATGCCAACTATGATGGGAAGGAGTACGACCCTGTGGAGGCTCGCCAGGGCCAAGACACCATGCCCTGCCCTGCAATGTCTGCCCTCAACAAACCCAAGAAGATCCTCAATGCTAGTGAGTGGTGGCTCAGCCACTGATTTTTATTTATTTTATTTTCACTGTACTACTACTTTTTAGGAGTGGATCCCCTAGATAATGTTCCAGGCAGGGCACAAAGGCCCCAAAATCAACATCTTGAGACCTTTTGAACTAAAATTGTCAATCGAAAGCAACTAAAACCAAATTGTTTTGGGTTGGGGGGAGAATAGAAACACTGACTTGCAGCAAGAAATAGCTGCTGTAAGCAGTCTAGAGATAACTGTTGTCTTTCCATATTGAAATCTACTGAGCTTGTCAATAACAACCTCTCCCCATCTCCATTCTAAGTAGTTGCTTGTTCCCCTCAGCACCCCAGCGGGCAGCAGTTGCCAAGGTAGCACCCAAAATGGCGCCCAGCTCGGCACGGAGACCAGGGGCTGGCGGAAGTGACGAGGAGCGGGCAGAACTAATCCAGGAGGTACTGTCATCATCCTTCCATTCATATGCCTTGATATGTATTAGAAATAACAATTGCTGTATTCACATGGTTTGACTGAAGTTCTAGCCAAAATTCAGATATACATCTGAACCTTCCCTCCCAGGTGAATATACTGAAGTCCACCATCCAGGACATGGAGAAGGAGAGGGACTTCTATTTTGGCAAACTGAGGAACATTGAGCTCATCTGCCAAGAGAAGGAAGGAGAGGGCGACCCCACACTGCAGAGGATTGTGGATATACTCTACGCCACCGACGTGAGTTTTAGTCAACATTACATGCAAAGCCTCACGGGTCAACTTCAGCTTTCTTAGATTTAAGCCTGTGTGTTTTGGTTCATGCAACTGCTGATGCCCTCTAAAATTCCATCTGTGGAATGGCATGTATGTAGCTCAAGCGGAATGCTAAAGTATGCTCGTACAGCATGGACAAACTGTGCTGTTTCCCTCCAGCAGGCCACGCATGATTGGTTCAGTCTGTTCGAAACTCATTCATCTGGGTCAAATGTCAAAACACTGGTGCGCTTGATTTAGTGTAGTTTGCACTTTTGGCACCATTCTATTTGTGCCTCTGTACCAGGGAAATTAAACGGCGCACAAGTGTTTGAAAAGTATTTGATGCATGGCAGGCTTAGATCAACATTTTAGTGTATTTCCACTATGTAGAGTTCTGTAACCAAATATCTAAGCAGATAATATCCTCTTTATCCGTCTGTCTGTGCTTTCAGGAGGGCTTCGTCATACCAGACGCTGAGTCAGAGGACCACGAGGAATTCTAATGTTCAAGACTGGATCATGCAACTTTTAATACTACCCCCCAACCTCTTCAATCAGCTACAACAGCTCCCATCCTCACCCTACGTACCACACCCTAAACAACCGGATCATGTTATGTATTGCTTGGTCTCTGAGTAGACTGTATATGTTTTTCGTCTGTCAAATCAAGTTGAAATAAGTAGTGTGAAGTCCCACTTCCTCTGATTTCCCTTCTTCGGGTCATCCTATTGGCCTGTGCCAGCGTCGGTCTCGGCATCATGTTGGAAGAAGGCGGTTATTTTGGCTCTCTATTTGGGTCCAGAAGAGTGAGCTGTCAGTCTGTAAGATGCCGCTTTTTTTCTTGGTCTTTCCCCTAATTTTCTATCTCTTCCGGGAATTGGAGTTACAAGTTCGTTGGCGCCTGCACTCACTTTTGTACATTGTATTTTTCTTAGTTTACTCGTTTCCCAAATTATTACAGTCTTTGCCACACGTACAGTGGGGAGAACAAGTATTTGATACACTGCCGATTTTGCAGGTTTTCCTACTTACAAAGCATGTAGAGGTCTGTATTTTTTTTATCATAGGTACACTTCAGCTGTGAGAGATGGAATCTAAAACAAAAATCCAGAAAATCACATTGTATGAAGTAATTAATTTGCATTTTATTGCATGACATAAGTATTTGATCACCTACCAACCAGTAAGAATTCCGGCTCTCACAGACCTGTTCGTTTTTCTTTAAGAAGCCCTCCTGTTCTCCACTCATTACCTGTATTAACTGCACCTGTTTGAACTCGTTACCTGTATAAAAGACACCTGTCCACACACTCAATCAAACAGACTCCAACCTCTCCACAATGGCCAAGACCAGAGAGCTGTGTAAGGACATCAGGGATAAAATTGTAGACCTGCACAAGGCTGGGATGGGCTACAGGACAATAGGCAAGCAGCTTGGTGAGAAGGCAACAACTGTTGGCGCAATTATTAGAAAATGGAAGAAGTTCAAGATGACGGTCAATCACCCTCGGTCTGGGGCTCCATGCAAGATCTCACCTCATGGGGCATCAATGATCATGAGGAAGGTGAGGGATCAGCCCAGAACTACACGGCAGGGCCTGGTCAATGACCTGAAGAGAGCTGGGACCACAGTCTCAAAGAAAACCATTAGTAACACACTACGCCGTCATGGATTAAAATCCTGCAGCGCACGCAAGTTCCCCCTGCTCAAGCCAGCGCATGTCCAGGCCCGTCTGAAGTTTGCCAATGACCATCTGGATGATCCAGAGGAGGAATGGGAGAAGGTCATGTCGTCTGATGAGACAAAAATAGAGCTTTTTGGTCTAAACTCCACTCGCCGTGTTTGGAGGAAGAAGAAGGATGAGTACAACCGCAAGAACACCATCCCAACCGTGAAGCATGGAGGTGGAAACATCATTCTTTGGGGATGCTTTTCTGCAAAGGGGACAGGACGACTGCACTGTATTAAGGGAGGATGGATGGGGCCATGTATCGCGAGATCTTGGCCAGCAACCTCCTTCCCTCAGTAAGAGCATTGAAGATGGGTCGTAGCTGGGTCTTCCAGCATGACAACGACCCGAAACACACAGCCAGGGCAACTAAGGAGTGGCTCCGTAAGAAGCATCTCAAGGTCCTGGAGTGGCCTAGCCAGTCTCCAGACCTGAACCCAATAGAAAATCTTTGGAGGGAGCTGAAAGTCCGTATTGCCCAGCGACAGCCCACGAAACCTGAAGGATCTGGAGAAGGTCTGTATGGAGGAGTGGGCCAAAATCCCTGCTGCAGTGTGTGCAAACCTGGTCAAGACCTACAGGAAACATATGATCTCTGTAATTGCAAACAAAGGTTTCTGTACCAAATATGAAGTTCTGCTTTTCTGATGTATCAAATACTTATGTCATGCAATAAAATGCAAATTAATTACTTAAAAATCATACAATGTGATTTTCTGGATTTTTGTTTTAGATTCCGTCTCACAGTTGAAGTGTACCTATGATAAAAATGACAGACCTCTACATGCTTTGTAAGTAGGAAAACCTGCAAAATCGGCAGTGTATCAAATACTTGTTCTCCCCACTGTATATTGTTTTTTGTGTCTGAGAAAATTCACTGAGTTCCTAATCATTTCAATAGAGAAAGTGTTTTAGATGGGTTCAATGGGTGGTTAATGTATTTATCATGGAACAATTATTTTCTTCCCTAACCACAACTCTCACTCATATTCCCCAAACCTAATAAATTTCACAATTCTTTAATTAGGTCTCATCCAGTTTGGAGATTAACCTGTTTTAAATGGTGCAATTATGTGCTATTCTTTATTGCAGGAAAGTGGAATTTTTCTCTCAAAGATGCAGGACAGCTCATAACATGACAATATTTAATGCTGAAGAAACATGTTAAAACTACATGTTTACAGTGGAATACTTTGTGCGTCATTTATCTGTTTTGTTTGCCTCTTGGCTGTTGGAAGGCATGTGCACTGTGGATGCCAGAAACTCCTGGTCCCAAGCCCATCCCAAACGACCCACTTTGGGGTTTTGGGCTTTTCTCCCAATCTATAATTTGTCCGTTGGCAGGGGATAAAAGTTTGAACTTGATTTAGCATCTAGTGTCTAATTCATCCTCTTAAGGGAATGCGAAAGGTGAGTGACTTTGCTGTTTTTTCTTTTCTACTTACTCAACAAACAAAAAAATACTCCTGGTTCTGTAGCATGTTTTAACACACTCCAGTTGTGAATTTGAATCTGTTTTAATCATGTAGCAACTGCACCAGTGACAGGTTCTAAGGCCCAAAACGCTGATACGCAAATAGAACTGCCAGTCTCTGTGCTAGAAGATCAGATTTGTATGTTTTATGAATTGCCTTATTCTTAATGCATTTTTCTTAAATAACTTTAATAACCTACATAGATGTGACTTTGATGTACTCTTTTTTTGGCAGATGTTTGTAATACGATTTAAAGTATTGTAATTTAAGCTCTTATCAGTTTTTTTTTCTTTCTTCTGCTGCTCTGAAATAAAGATGTCTAGAGAATCTGGCAGAAGCTTGGGTATTTTAGGCTGTTATATAGACTTTCAGTCTTCCAGTTATACAAAAGCCAATTACATTTTTATACCAGTGATGGTTCATTGATGTGTTATGAACCTATTGGTGTACTTAATCTATCTGGTGCCACACAACTTCTGAATGAAATACCCTCATAGAAATTACCTCTCCAATGATTAGCAATACATAACTGACCAGTCCAAAGTCTTGCCTCCTTGCGGGGCTCATGAAATAATGTGTATAAATTGAACAATAATGGGATCTATAGGATCCATTGGTTGCGCTTAGCGAGACATCATTAGCTTTACATGATGGGGATTTTCTGATGCTGATTAGGTAATGAATTGCCAATTTGGTTTGGAGTCCACATGGGAGCAGCACACAGCTTTTACCATTGCAGGATACTTCTGTTATCTGGCACTAAAACGGGCCCTTTCTAGGCCTTAGACACTGACAGGGCAATGATGGAAGTTTGAATGTCATGCAAAATACTTACTGATGGGGATGCCTGGTGTCATAATTATCATTTTCTACTGTTACGTTTCTCTAGTGCTTCTTCAGGATCACCACCCTAATTCAATGTGGCAAATTTTGGCATAGCCACTTCCAAAACATAATTTTCCTGAATGTATTGGGACACGTGTATATTTGATACACAGAGATGCTAATTGTGACCTTTTTAGCAGATTCCATAGCGCTGAGCGATTATTGCATTTTGAGGTCGTTTCAGTTCGACTATTAAAAAACAATCACAGGTTTCTGTTTTGATTATTTGGGTTGAATGCTGTAACAACACAGAATAAAACAATTAAAAGTCCCATGATGGTAGTGACTGCTCATTACTGCTTATTTACAGTTTAGTCATTTAGCAGACGCTCTTATCCAGAGCAACTTACAGTTAGTGAGAGCATATATATTCATACTATTAAAAACACTGGTCTGTTCCAGGTCAACTACATTAAAAGTGTTACATTGCATCAACCAATGGTTGTGTGCCACGTCATCGTCTGCACAGTCGGGCATCTGTTTGCTATATCATATGATGCGGTTTGCTGATATTAAACACCTATCCAGGCATTGTGAGATCTGGCATGCATCTGCAATGTAGTCAACTTGGAACATCCATTGTCTTTGTAAAGTGCATTTTATATGCAAGTGGGACAACCCCTCCTCAATGGCCTCTTTTAATCTAACCTTTTGCCAATCTTGACCTCTAACTTCGATCAACTTTCTGTTTGCCTTTTGATTCCCATTTTTTAAAAATTGTTGTTTATTTTGATATTTTGAATTAGAGTAGAGTAGTCCCCTGAGGCTCAGTTGGTAGAGCATGGCGCTTGCAACACCAGGGTTGGGGGTTCGTTTCCCACGGGGGGCTAGTATGAAAATGTATGCACTCACTAACTGTAAGTCGCTCTGGATAAGAGTGTCTGCTAAATTATATATTTAAAAAAAAAAAAAGTGCTTATTGGAAGGATTTTACTCAAAGCACACACTGTAAGCAGCCCTTATGTTTTGGGGTGCAAAAGATCAGTGGTGCTCACTGTGACTTTCTCAACAATCTGTGCCGACATTCTTGTACACTGTGGGCCACGTGCCACCTTTGCTCTCCTTTCCGCTCTCTCTTTCCTGGTCTTCAGTGAGAAATTAATTATATTTTTTCTTCTTTCGTTTCTTAAATCGTATTTGCTGAATCAAGTTTCTTACAAACAATAAAACAGTATTTCCATGTAAATGTTTTCTGTTGGCTGTTTCTTTTTATCTCTAATATAAAGGTGCTATGTGTGAAGATTGATATGGCAGAAAAGGTCTAAAAAAACAAACCATCCTAGTTCAGAATGTGAAATTCACATTACACCATTCCCAGGTTAAGCTGTCAGATTGGAATTCCACTGCTGTGACATCATTAAGAGCATTAGCTCTTCTGGAATGCCAATCATTTTCTGTGAAACTCCATTGTTGAAAACCTTACATAGATTCCACCTCTACCCGGCTGGGTGGGTTTCTGTCTGTCTGTCCGGCCAAACTGGTAGTTTTGAGGACCCTTGTCTATTTTATTGCTCAGGGTAGGGGTTAATGGGTGGGTAATTAGAATTACGGGGATAAATAGAGTTAAAATCCTTCCGTCCTCAGGCTTTTTACATGCTTGAGTGGGTGTATCCCATAGAACGCCACTTGTGTCCCTCACAAGACAGTGAGCCCCCTCTGAGTCAAACCCCCAGCTGCCACCCCCAACAATTATTTATGATGATCCCTGCCTTGTTACTAGACAGAGGGCTAGACCAGGGATCCCTGTATTAGTGCTCGCTCACCTGGGTTCTATTCATTAGGGCACACCGTAGCCAAACGTTTTGCAATAGAAAACAAGTCAAAGTAGTCCATCCCAGTTTTAGTCTGTGAATACAACCCTGGGTTAGGTGTATTGTCATGGTTTGGTGCCGTGCCTGGGACCCCTG